TTGTAGACACAATAACTCATCCATTTAAAACATCTTGCTGAACTGGAATCTGACCAGGAAAGATTTAAAAGGCTATGCTATGAGGCATAAATTTGTGAGATTCATCAGGATAAAACGCAGTAGGAATTTTGAATCCAGAAGAGAAAGGATTGAGGAGAGACCACGAGTATATTTAACTTTGATCGCTGGTGGCTCATCAGACAGCTGCTCTTTCCTTGACTCAATTCTTGCAAGTCTCTGCAGTACTAATTCAGCAAAGAGGCTGAGCTTCAAATGTTTTGGCATGTCTGGGATATTCTGTTAATGACTGAAAAATATTTCCACAAAAGCATGCGGACAAAATTAAATGTATTCCAAAAAAAGATGAGTTATCCGCTGCCAGCTGCTCCTGATTTCTGCTCTTGAAGAGGGACAGGAAACCTGGGCTGATAAAAAGGAGTCCCAAAGTACAGATTTCCACCATGACATAAGGCAAAGGTCCTCCACAAGAAAAGGAATAACTTGCCTCTCTTAAAACACAGTCTAAACTTTTGCATAAATAATTGTTTTGAAACTCTCTGCCAAAACTCCCATTTAGCTATGATTACCTCCCACAGCACTTCTGCTGAATTCATTACTCATTTTCAGTTATTCCTGTTTATTCATGCTTGCTGATCTACTCTTTCTTTCCCCAGCTATGTTGTTACTTTCAACCTCGTGCTTTAACTTGGAGACATCAGGCATGGTGAATCATTAAGCATCCTTCTCCACATATGCTGGACTGCACGTTTTAAAACTACACAGGCTAAGGAAGCACTGTACGAAAAGAAAGTACTTTGCAAATCTGGATAACATCCAGTTGAGCAAATACAGTTTTCTCCAGCTTCCTTATAGACAAAGGTCAATCCTCAACTAAGTCTTGTGAGCAAAGGGTCATCGGGAGGACGCTGTAATTGTAAATAGCACCGTGGACCTGAGGTGCTATTCCACTTGAAACAACAGCATCATTATTGTACACCTACAGTACAGCAACATGAGTGACTGCCACGGTAATTACAAGGAGCCGGGCCCGGACGGCAGGGAAAAGGGAGATTGGCTCACCTGCTTGCTTGTTTCTGTGTACTGCCCAGCTCGGCTCTCTCCAGAGCAGGCTGCGCTCAAAGTAATTCATCAGTATCTGTAGCAAAGCTCTTTCCTGGAGAGCTTCAAGCTCTATCTGTCAAATTGTGTTACCTAGTGACTTATCAGGGCTGTCCCTGCATAACTGGAAATTGCAATTAATAGCTTAAATGCTGCTGTTCAAATATGTAGTTGGTCATCTTTTTCTGTGGATAAAACCAAATATGTAGCACATGGTTGTTAAAAAAAAAAAAAAGAGAGAGATGATTGTAAGCCGTGCTCAAGAAGCATGGCCATGGAGGCAAAGCTGGACCTTCCTCCATACACTAGCACGATTTCCAGCATAGCTGAAAGCACAGGCCATGCCAAACAGCTCTGGAAGTAGCTACCCCAGCCAGAACAATTGAGTCCTGTCAGCACTTGTACCTGGCAGAGATGCACCACAGCCAGAACTATGCCGAGTCCTGCAACGGTGCTGAAAGGCTCTGTCATCTTCTTTTCAAAACGGCAACTGCTTATAGCTCTTATTTCATCTCTTATATCAACACTAATTGCTTCATTTCTTACAATGTGTGTGGTGGCATACTCACAAAAGCAAAGGAAACGCTTTCGACTCACCACAGCATGTGCGCTACGTTATCTTCCCCACCAATTCATTTGTTCTTCCTCACCATCAGTCCTGCCACATGTTCAGGTAGGTCTGAGCACAGGACTTGACCGAGATCAGAATGCAGCATACCATATAACATACAAACCTGCTTGCAGAATCCGTTCCTGATTTACAAGCAAGGTGCTGGGACACCGAGACATTGTACCACAACAAAGAGCACACCGGCACAGCCTGAAACAACTCACAACTCTCCTGCCTTCTGCCTTCAAGTACGTTTTCCAATCGATTCTCTTGCCTCGCAAGGGCTAGAAACTGTGGCTTTAAAACTGTGCAAAAGTTGGCAAAACTTTGTGTCCTCATCTAAATGAATTGTACACAGCGCATTAAAAAAAAAAACAAAAAACAAAGAATCGGGTAGAAAGTAGTACAAGAGCTTCCACCTACAGTCTATTTCAAGTACATAACATGGCCCAATAAGTAGGTTGTAGTTTATGATCTCTCTTTTTAAGAATTTCACAAGCTTTTCAAACAGGTGCATGGGTAAGGATGAAACACAACCAGGCAGGGGTTTCCTGTCAAACAGGTGCTGAGATCAGTGGCAAATTCCAGGAGATGCTCAAGTCACTCCAGAGACAAATGCCATCATGTACGACACTAACGCCCCACCATCGTTTCGTTGAGTGAAATTAACTCTCCCTCTCACCTCAAGATGACACCATGTGGTGTATTCAGATATCACTCCCTTACCCTGACAGAAATGTAACCACTGTCCGAGTGATGGGACCCGACAGGGTCTTCCTGGCTTCTTGCCAGGAAGGACCACCAAAACCAAGACCACGGGTATTATTAGGGGTGAAATATTCAGGCAACTAGAAGAAACTGTGACTACTGTGTGGATACTGGGACACTTATTCTTGCAAGAAACAACACAAAAAGTACCATCAACAGGGTGGCAACTACTGGCCAAAACCTGAGCCTTAATTCTGTTGAGGAGGTCATAAATTTCAAATTATTTCAGCAAAAAGCATGACCTATCGCCTCCACCCGAGTACTCCTTTTCTGAGGGGGTTGATCCTGTACTACTACAGAGCCAAGACGTTGCCTATCTTGCATCAGATCTGTAGGGCTGCAACCTTAAACATACAGACACACAAATCAAGCTTTAAAAAATGCTGTTGTTTCAAGTCAGCCAGAACTTTTATTTGTTGACATGATCAGTGCCATCTGTTTTGCTGGCTGACGCTATTTTCTCCAGAACACTTCAGCTGTCACTTTATATTTTGCCTGTTTGCAGAAGCTTGTCTCCCATTTCTTTTTTAAACTTTCACTTTTATGCAATGCTTTCAGACATCTTCCAGAACAAAACCTGTGGGCTCTCTTAGAGTTTATTTCTGCAAAGACAATTTCAGTATTAACTGAGCCATGGCTTTAAATCTAGAGCATGCATTCACAGGTTGGTTTTTTGTTTGTTTAAGAAAAATAAAAAATAAAAATAAGGAACACAAAAGAAAAGACAACTAAAATATTGTAACTGATCTGGCTAGTGGCGTGCTTCATACTGAAAAAAATGTTTTGAGTGAACTTGCTTTTAAGTAACAAAAGTGCTTTTTCTAGGCTGCTTTCCATGTTTCAGTTCAACTGAAAATTTAAACTAGACCTGGCAGTTTAATTTTCTGAGTGCTACACACTAATGTTCCATCATACGATTGCAAGGAAATTTAAACAACCTACCGGTTTTAGAATAATTTCCATTAGTTTACTTGAACTTTGAGGCCACTAGAGAACAAACATAAAAGGCAAAAGATCTCCTGAATTTCTGGATATGTTATTTGTTACCACTTACCAACCAAAACTTCTAGCAGCGTCCTTTTGGAGGGTGTCTGCTTGCACCACCCTATCTGCCGTTACCAACTTTAAACTCATCTTTATGCTAAAAAGCAAGTATGAAACACGTTCCACGGACAACTTAAAACATGACCACAGGCAACACCGAAAGCCGAAGGGTCACTGAGGGGTACACAAGAACAAGGAAAAGTGCAGGCAGGAAAGTCCACGAAAGTTCAAGCTTAAACTGGATGTGTGCTGTCACTCCACAGGGCAGAGAGGTGGGAGCACCGCCCTCCTTCTCGGACACAGGCTTGATGAGTACAGCCGCAAAACAGCGTTAAGGCTCATGACAGGGTAGGCAGAAATTGAAGACAAAAAGCTCAGAACAAAACAATGCAAGCTGTAAGGCGTGAATTAAATGGGAACTGTGAAAGAGCTAAAAATGTGCAGCTTGTCTAAGCAAAAGCAAATAATGCAGAAGACTTCCAGATATTTCTGGAAAGCTTAAAAAAAGAGGGGGAGAGACTAGCTAGAGTATTTCCACAAGTGACAGGTTTAAGTTATGAGGTAGAGGATGAAATTTAAAAAGGAAACATTACTGGCTGAAAGCCCTGGAAAAACTTCCTGACCTTGAGATATTATTGTCTGTGGCACATCCCCCGTGGAGAAGGGAACTGCCCGCCTGGAGGGGCCAGCAGAGAGCCTGCTGGAGGGAACCAGCGCTCCCCAGTTTGAGGGGGACAGCTTCATCCCGCAGGTCCTTTCCATTTCTGTACTTAAAATCTTATTGTAGTGCTATCCTATTTTGCAAATATATGCTTATATATATTTGCTGCATATTAGAGAGAAATTAAGTATCTGACTATATAGGAGAACTAATTAATTCCTCGGACTTAATCACAGAGAGAATGTTCTACAGTACTAAAATTGTCAGTCAGTAAGCAAAACAAAATAAACCAACATAATTGCTTTAAAATTATGTACTTGACAGATGTCTTATACATCACTCTATATAACAATAGATAAAGCCATCTTCTGAAACCATAGCCTTCTTTCATTCTGTTCCTTTGCTGAGAAAGGATTTTTTTTTTTTTTTTTTAATTCAAAATATATAACCTACAATGGAAGGCAGTGGAACAGTTCAATTAATACGGTTCTTTTAAACAACAGATAACCCAAGTCCAAGTCCTATATGGATTTTCTATTAATCAAAAAATATCTTCACAGTAGGTTGGGTCTTTTTACTTAAGCATACTATATTTTGCTTGTCAAGCATACCTCGGGAAACAAGATTGTTACAGGGAGATGATGGCGAGACAACTATTTTTTTCTTCCATGCTTATCAAGTAAATTTACTTATAGACAGTACTTCAATAACCAACCTCCATCAATATGTTAATCATATAAATGTATTTTGAGGACCAAGGGGAACAGAGCACACAGCTAGCTAAGATAACTCAATTACCTTTGTCTTTTCACCAATAACATTTCTCTCCAGCTCAGCTATTTTTCTGTTTAGATGATCCAATATTTCCTTCTCTTTCAGCAGCTCTGTTGTTTCAGATTTCTGTTCCCCGTCCAAAAGGGCACATTCCATATCCAACTAGGAACACAAAACATTTTTCAGAAGCAGTCCAGATTAAGAAGAAATCTTGATACACGCTATTTTCTGGGGGAAGGGGAGTGAATTGGTGGAGTGTTTAAAAAAAGAAAAAAATTTAAAAGGGGGGGGGGGGGGGAAGTAAGTTTTACTGCCACAGAAGTAAATTAAAGAGAGATCACAAATCTGAGAAAAAGTAAAACTGCAACATAAAATACTGCAAAATAAAGTCCAAACCAACTTTAGTTTGAAGATTCTTTTTTCCAAAACTTTTTGTTTTCTATCTCTTCCATGTGCTTCCACCTGTTACGATGCCGTACCAACTCTCTGTGCCCAGGCTCTGTAGGAAACCCTTCTGGAACAGCTGTTTCTTTCCTGTTGCTGATAATTGGAGCAAGCACAACCCAAATGCCTGGCCAGCTTAGTCTGCAACTGTGGGATTCCAGAAGTCAAGAGGGTGCCAACATACCCTTGCCACCGTAAAGCCACGGAGGTTTGAAAGGAAGTCGTCTCACTTCCTTTCTCTTTAAACCGTCACAGGAGATACCACCATAAAACTCCCAAGTGACACAAGGTATTTAGATCAATTGAGTGACCATTAAACAAGCAAGATTGTTCTAATTCCACTTAGGAGTATAATGGTTACAGCTGGGAAAGGCTAATCTGGGCATCACATCCATCTCCCAGCTGGGGAAAAATAACCTTCACAGTAGGAGACTGCCAGGTCCGTGATTCTGTGCCTAATCCTGGTGAAAAAGCACAGAATACGAAGGCGACGTACATCCATGAGTTCCCTATGTACTTGCTGAACCCATCAGACTTATGCTAGGTAGACATACCTAACAAGCAAGACATTTAAAACCAAAACATATTTCATACCTCTCTCGAGGACTCATCCATCTGGTCATTTAAATCTTTGATCTTCTGCTCAAGTTCTTCCAAGTTATTTAGTATTACTATGCGCTCCTCCTCCAGTCGACCAAGCTCCTGCCCTCTTTGCTCTTCACTTGTGCATTCTGGTATCTGCAGTTGCACGTTACAAGAGGTTCATTAGAAAAAGAGTTAAACACTGTCTTTCCTCCCCCCTTTCATATTGCGTTCATTTTAGACAAGTACAGTACTGCTGGTTTTGAGCCCGTTACATATTTCATATCTACTATATTGCTATTTCTATATTTAGAAGGTGTACAAGAGAAACAAACATGATACTTCACTTCCAGGCATTGGAAGTAAACACTATACTTAACAGTAAATACTATTCATTCTACAGGAATTATTAAGAGAGGTTACATGCTGCGCTATTTAGGTTGTAAAAACCCAATTTTTCCCTTATAAAAACAACACAGACAGGTGAAGATGCTTTTTACGTAAATTTCAGCTGTTCGTATAATAAAAGCCAGGAGGTAGGACAAGATATTTTTGTAACCAGCCATTAAGATGGGCAGCTTCTGTAAAATAAGGACAAAAGTTGGTTCTGTCTCCCCAGTTGAGGAAGTAGTACCCTTAACGTTGCTCTTTTCATTGCCATTTACTTACTAGATAGCTGTGCCAAGAATTAAACATTATTAAGAAATACCTGTGATCTTATACCAGCAAAGGCTAGATCAAAGAGTATTGAGTTTCAAATGTATTCTTCGTGTTCATCTGGCCCCAGGGGCTTGCGATCCAATTACTCTGGTAAGGCTGCTCGCTCATTGTCCCCAAGCAGAATTAGAAGCGGGTTGCGTGCAGGGCTCCGGCGTTAACCACTGGACCACACAGCCTTGCTCAAAAGAGGCTCAGCTACGGAATGGCTATTCTGAGAGCAGGCATTTTATCCTGAACAAATCTGATCTCAATATTTTAAAACACAGTGAGCTGTGTTTCATTAACACAGTTGCTTGTTACTGCTTTTCTCAGGGCTCAGCAGAACACCCTTTACAATGAATGGATGAATGATATTCCTTGATTAGCATTAGTAATCCTAGCAGGAAAACCTCTTTTTGTCCGGTATCTTGTTCAGATAATGCTGACATAACATCTTCGATTTCAACTTCCTAATAAGGATTTAAAATAGGATCTCTGACTTGCACAAAGAAAGCAACAAATGGGAAAGAAACGCAAGACCACAGTAACTTTAAGTAAAATGTCTTACTACTTTTTCAACACAGAAAGACCAAGTAAAGCCATAATAGCACGTTTCTGTTCAACATAATTTCACACCGAAAGACTCAGCAGACAGATTTCCAGAGAGATACCCCTTTATAAGATAAAATGTTTTTCTATCGCACCTCTCTCCTCTTCTACACACACACACACTTCTATTGACTATAAGGATGTAAGTTAAGCAGAGGTTAAATACAATTCATGTTAGCCATATAACCGTGCTGAAGCTCATACAGGGTGTAAATAACAGTAAAAAGGAGAGACAAAGTATTTTGAAGGTGTGAATTTGTTAAACAGAAACCTGCTTTTTTGCCTTTGCTTGGTCTTATTATGCTCCTGATTCTAACTCTTGAATATAGTTATTTATTTAACACACTGCCTGTCACCAGGATTTGCTGCACTGCTGGTCTGGCACACCAGAGCCGAGGCGCTGACCCAAGACGACGAAAGGCCCCTGCCCCAGCCCGGAGGAGGCTGCTGCTGCCCTAGCTGAAGGAAATTGTTAGGAATGCTGTTAGCTTGTTTTTTAAAGGACAATTTCCCTTCAGTGATGGAACAGCAGTGTGAAGCACACAGGAAAGGAGCTGCAGCTTATTGAACACAGAAGTTGGGTTAGAGAGGCAGGAGGCTGGCTGCTGCCGGCGCAGCCCGTGAGAGGAGGCAACAGCTGATTTGACAAGTGGCTCAGGTCCAACCCCGGGAAAAGAGACAGGACAGTAAATTCGGCTCAGGCAGCTCCTCTTCACCTCCCGTGTGACTGTTCTGGTTTGCCCACTAGAAAACATCCTCCTCTCACACAAGACAGGAGCCTCAGGCTAGGAGAAGATGGCAGAGCTTCCCTGCCGTCCTACGTCCCAGCATGGTGCTAAGCAGGGTTCCTGAAACCTTCCTTATTTAAGTAGCTATAATTGTTCAAACAAATCCTTCTCCCTCAGAAAATCTTAAGGCTCTTCCTGAATTGTACATCCCTCTGAGAAAAAAAACCCCACAACTTTGAGTACCAATAGCTTCCACAGAAAATGAAATAATCATTTGCTGGCTGCTAAGTTGTATGAGCTCCGAGATTAATTCTCACACCTAAGCCATCCTAACTGTGGCCCCTGTCAGGACAGCCAGCTCCTAGAGGAGGATTTTGAGCAGTCGAACCTGGATTGTACTCTTTCAGCGTTACCTTTGGTGTGATGCTTAGGTAGGACGATTCGGTGGCATCCTTCAGGAAGCCGGGAGCAGCGAAAGGTGGAGGCTTCGCGCTTTCGTTGAAGTGCTCGTCGGCTCTCAACCCTTTAGAGGAGAGGAAAGCAGCAGTGCTGCGACTGTGGTTGCTCAGCTCCGAGAAGTCCGAATCGCTTGCAGATGATTTCAAGTGGCTCCTGAACCTCGTTTCCAGATTGATCTGTGAGTCCTCGAACACCGAATCCTCATCGGAGAGCTGAAGTTTTTCGAGTTCTTTGTTAATTTTTTGAACATCAGCAACTGTTGTAGCTGCAGCGGGGGCGCTGTCAGATTTGGAGTATTCTGCACACAGATTGAGGATTGTCTCCAGCCGCTGTCGTTCCTAGTTTAAAGGTAGATAATAGCACTAAGCTTCACGTGTGAGCTAAAGTAAAGATGAAATTAAAAAAGTTTGCTGGCTTTTTTTTTCTTTGCTTTTTTTTTTTTTAAGAGTGAAGGGTTAAAGTCCTCCAGTTCCATGTATGTCTCTAGCACTTAGAGATAATAAACAGAGATACACAAATAAATTACAGTGCAAGATGAAGAATCAAAGTTAACATGGAAGAACAACTTAAAAAAATTAAAAGTACATTTCACAGAAATGAATAGCTACTTAAATGATGTCCTGACACTTATCTTTCCAATGTAGAAAGTTTTAATATTAATATTGTTTATTCAGGTTGTTGTAACCATACCCCATTTGTGTTTACACATGTCCAGTGAGCTGACTGTATAAATCACTAATTGTTCCACTTTACACTTATGCTGTACTCCTACCAAGCTGCAAAACATTGCACAGATTTTCCATGAACTCATTCATTCCTGACTTTTTTTTATTTTCTGTTTTGTTAACTTTGATTCCCTTCTTTGGGAGAGAATTAGTCCACATTTTGAAACACGCAGTTTTAGGAGCATTAACAGAAAGAAAAGCGAGGCATCACGTCTAAAATACAACAGATGTCAAATGCACAGAGGTGGGGGAAAGCTTTATTTACCAGCTAACTCAAATACCATATGGATTTATAACAACATTTCAAACTTGAGAAGCTGAATAGCTGTGCCAGTTTGACCTCACGTGCTTCAAGTTGCTATAAACATCTAATTCCCGAAAGATTTCAAAATCTCTATGATACTTTACAAAAAGTATCAGAAAGCTGTATTTGTTTTATTTTAATATATTAAAGAGGTGATGCTTTTACGTAATTTCATGTTTCTTTTGCTAAAGAAGAAAAATAATGTAAATAAAAAAATGCTTACCATAAGCCTATTGAAAATTCTGGGGAAGAGAGATCACTGTGAGAGTTCCATGCTTGGCATTAATACCTGCACTAATGATCCCACTTCTGATTTCTAGGAAATCCTTCTTATTTTTAGTCATATTTAAAAAGAAAGCCAAAAAAACCCAAAATCCTCAGCCTCCCTCCCCAGGAACCACTGCAGACGTATTCGCTTTCCAAGCTCTACCCGGCATGACGCTTGCAAACAGGATTTGCAAAGCAGCTATTTCTGACAGTCCTAACACTCTCTATGCCCAACAGCAAGTGATAGCAAGAATCAAGCAAAACAGGTCGGGCCATGCATTGCCTGCTCCTTCCCTGCAGCAAGCCATTGGAGTTTTATGAAAATTTAACACTGGTTTACAAGCACCCAGCTTTTTATACAGCTACCAAGAGATTACCCATGTGGATGCACTGCATGTTCACATCACCCCGCATCACCCGCAGTTAAGAGCTGCCTTTCTGAGCTGGAGAGAACCCATCTGAACCCATCCGTTTCCAAGCACTACCCAACCGAGAGAGCACCGCGAGACAGAAATTTTGCCTTCAGGTAGCTTATTCCCAGGTTCCCACCGCAGCTTTCCTCTGAAGCCTCCTGTAACAGCACCGGCAGAGACGAGCCGCTGAAATAACGGAGCCCTGGGCAGCTGCGGGGCAGCAATTGCTAGCTTGTATTTTCCATGAAATGGGTCCAGCAGATTCTGCAGACATCCTTCAACCCCAAATGATCGACATAATTATAACTCCCCAAAGCCTTGTTCCCTCCAGGCAACCACTGCCAGACCCTAAGCCTCTTCCCTTACCCTTCCAACGCTGCTGTCCTCCCTCTTACTAAGCCTTTTGGCCACGCAACCCAATTCCTAAAGCGCTGTGCAAGTGCTGGCTGGGATCGCCGGTAATTATGCAGCTCTCCCTGTTGTGACAGCACCGGGCCTGGCCCTTTCATACAGTCGTCGTAATGGTTATAGATGGGAAACACGGCATCAGGACATGAAGTCCCGTCCTTCCCTGCAACAACAGGGTGTATCAGGTTACCCCACGCCAAGCCTCCATCCCTTCAATAATAATAGGAAACGGCAAATTTCAAAGCGCAGCCGCTGCTCATCCTAGCCTAAGCGGTCAGGTAAGGAGCTTTCACTGCAAACCCATCCTTTGCTGAGCAGGCAGAAGAAAAAAAAAAAAAAAAAAGGCATTTTTCCCCCCGAGTCTCAGATGCTCAGGAAAGCTTAAAAATTGCAGGAAAACTTCTGCCAGTCTTCAAAAAATTCCTGATGAACTTTCAGACACATTACAGAAATACCAATATCACTCACTTCTATTTTGACATGTGCCAAGAGGCTTACAGACAGGAAGCTCTGTGGTTATTTTATACGCTCTATTCTCATCATTTCATCTCAGCCAACTCATTCCAGCTCCAGCACACCTGCATTTAACTGTTTCCAACATAAATTTCTGAGTCAAGCAGCAAGCTAGGAAAGCACCCCTGCAATGCAAAGTGCAAAAGCAGTAGCACATGGAAAATCCAGTCAATAATTTTGCAAGAAATACCACACAAATTATTTGTGACACTGAACACAGCTGAGGGAAAAAAGGTATGTCGAAAGAAGGAAACTGGTTTAAAATTGCCTCTGGTGGGAGGCAGGGGCTGTTGAATTGAATCAAGCCTTGTAAGCCTTTCAGTGTATTTCCCCATAAAATGTCCTTTCTAACAGACTAAAACTTCTCCGTGTATTTTCAGTGGATCTCTTACCTGCTACGAAAAGGGGTACACAGGTCTTGTGCACTTTCTGCCTGAGCAGTTTCACCACTCCTGGCTTTGACAAAGCTACACATCACCTATGGGCTGCTGGAAATTTAGGTGCTGAAGGAGAAGGGTGGGATAAGGGGATAATAACCCTCCTCTGTTATTGATTAACAATGACATTAAGAGACATCCCTGGCACCCTGTAAAGAAAAATATTCCAAAATAGCAGAGATAAATACCTCCCGCTTTTTTAACAGCAACCATGTCAGTGATTCCTGGATTTGTTTGTCTGCTGCATGTCACGTATATGAATTTTACAAATGCGTAGAGGTGATGCTGTATCTAGATATCAAGGTGTCGTGGTTTAACCTCAGTTGGCAACTAAGCACCACGTAGCCGCTCGCTCACTCCCCCCCAGTGGGATGGGGGAGAGAATCGGAAGGGGAAAAGTGAGAAAACTCATGGGTTGAGATAAAGACAGTTTAATAGGTAAAGCAAAAGCCACGCAGGCAAGCAAAGCAAAAGAAGGAATTCATTCACTCCTTCCCATGGGCAGGCAGGGGTTCAGCCATCTCCAGGAAAGC